TTACGAAAGCCAATCTTAGAACACAATACTGAAAACATGTTCGTCACAAACAGAGAGGCATTATTCCAAACTTTTAGAAAACATCATTCCCTCATGTCTTCAATATTTCAGCCTAAGGCATTTCAAATTACTACTAATTTTTAATTGGTCATCTTCTTCTAATAGGATAAAGTGCAAACATGGCCTTAATGTGTCTTATCTTCACTGACGTTATTATGCTCGATTAAATTAAAGATTTATATTTCCATGTATGCCTATGCAAGAGTGATTAAGGGGAAGAAACTACTATTTCACATACTCCTTCTTATTGTTCTCTAAGGATACAATTTGTTGTTGGTTTTAAGGTCGTCATACGTTCAATTGTATTTGTAAGTATTTGTGTGTTCTTTAATTCGATATTTGAGTCTTTGTCTGGTGTTTGTTTGTTTTGTTTTTTTTTGGTGGGGGGGGGGGGGCGGGGGGGGGGGGGGGGGGGTTTGTCTCAACTCAGGGTGATGTTGAACTGAAAAATATACATTGTTTTGATGCATTACGCTTGATGACTTCAAGATATGATGATCTTGATGTCGAATCGTGTTTCATATACGTTGCAATATTTTCAAAACGTTAATACTTGCATGTATACCTACAGTTAAAAAACGAAAATGTGTGTAACAATGTTTTCTAAGGTTTCATTTAAAATGGGCGATTTGCTATAAAGTATATTTTTTTTAATGACTAGTTATGATTGTGACATGTATCAATGAATAGACACAAAACACATCGAATCTATATATAACAACACAACAAATATATCAGTTGATTCATATTCCGCTTGGTGTTAAACCTACATTTAAATGATTGAGAATGACCACTACAAATAAACAAACACAACAATACATGACCGTCTTTGTTGAAGTTGTAATTCCCTGTTCTTAAGTTTTTATGGGAGATCTATCATTAAAAAACAAACCTTGTTGATGTATTACAATAATACCATAATCATGTAATACTACATTCTTAATTCATTGTTCTATATTTTTTCTTAAAATATTAAATCAAAATCGTGTGATTACTGTTATCATTCTTTTTTGTTTCAGCTTTTATCGTTTGTTGGATGCCTTTTATCTTAGCTGGGCTTTTAAATCTGTATGGTGATTTAGGTTATGGTGGATGGTTTGACATTCTTATTGCACTAGCACTACTCAACAGTATGGTGAATCCGAATATATTTCTAACTTTTAATAACAGGACGTTTATTTCAAGACAGAAAAGTACTTTTAGGCGTGCAGATCAGTTGGAACTTATGAATATATCTTAAAAGTTCTGTGTGAATCTATATAAACATACAATTTTTGTTTTCTTCAAACTGAAACCAAATTATGAAGAATCGTTATCCTCAGTTGTGTTACACGAAGATGAGAAAAAAGAGAAAGTACTGCTCAACTATCTGTATTGTCGATCTGAGAAACAACATGTAACATTATAAACTCACCAAGAATATAAATGAATTGTGAATATAGTTGTACGGTTATATTTCATTCTGAATGAGAATATGAACTCCACTTCTATTACCGGAATTAAAAAAAAAATGTTGGGATTGAATAATAAAAACATGTTCACTGATCTCTAATAGACATAAATCAAAGAATGAAATACATTGAAATGTGTAAAAGGTTTTTGCTGAAACAATCGAAGACTCTTTGTTTATAACAAAGAATGTATAGTCAACAAACACAAAAATAGACATAAACAACAGTTTAGGAACGCTTGTCTTTTAAAAGTCATACACTTAATCACAGCCTTTGATTGGTGTATGTTTCATCAAGTATGACTTTTTGTTTCGTGTATTGTTAAACAGTCTAAGCTGGACATTTTATTATGTGTAAAGTGAAATCAGAGCACGTCAAATGCAGCAATATAGCTTTTCAATGAACAGTGTAGTGTGAAGTATTTGAATATTCATTGTCGAGAAAGAGATGTTTCACATGACACTAAAGGCAATATTATTCCAATCTTTTCAGATGTATTGTATTAACATTTCTCTCTTTTAAATATTCAAAGTTTAAAGTCTACCAGTTTAGAAGAAGAAATATTAACCTTATTCTAAATTAAGATGGTTTCAAAAGAAACACTTAAATTTAACTTGAATATTTCCAAAACTCTGAAGATTGATATGTTAAGAAATTATTTCAAAATAACAATGATTTTAAAAAAAAATCCTTTAAAAGAATTCTAAAAAGGACTTCTATTTTATTTGGTCTTTCTAACCGTTTTGATTAGTTTGTCACTTTTGTGAAAGAAACGCGCGTCTGGCGTTTAAACATTTTTTTCATGGCATCTATGATGAGTTTATAATTATTCTGCAGTGGAGCTTGTTAAACTAAAGAAAAGTATTTAAATGAACTCTAATTTCAAATTATAAACAGATGAATTCACATGCATTTGTCTATGAGGTTATTTCTCTAGTGTCGGTTGATGTTACATCATCTGATAATGCAATCAACTGACTTCAAAATATTTTTATTCTGATAATGCAATCAACTGACTTCAAAACATTTTTTCCGATATCTTCAATTCAGCTTCGCCTTTTCAAAATTATGTATAACCCTTCGTTATCTGATCAAAAATTAACCGATTGTGTCAAATTCCCGATTGTGATATTTTGACTGAATGTGAATTTGCATGGCCAGTAACGAATACATAGCAGGAGGCACTCCTGGTCTCACTCCTTTTCGAGTTCATGAGATTCCCTGAGTGTTTGCTGGTTGCCTTGTGTTGTCTTTTCTCAGTCGATTCGATTTAAATTCAAAAGCCACAAATAAGTTAACTTAATATCCTTACACAAGTTGGACACTACATTTAAAGACTGTATATCATTAACATCCAAACAATCTTTTTTTAACAGTATGAATACAATGCAAATGCAATGATCTACTTTCCAAGATATATTTGAGTATTCTTATATTGGAAATTCAGAAATTTCAATGTGTTTATCAAATTAATGCGAAAAATGCGGCAGTATCAGATTTCAATGTGTTTATCAAATTAATGCGAAACATGCGGCAGTATCAGGTTCGTAACATCCAAACAATCTTTATTTAACAGAATGAATGCAATGCAAATGCAGTGATCCACTTTTCAAGATATATTTGAGTATTATTATATTGGAAATTCAGAAATTTCAATGTGTTTATCAAATAAATGCGAAAAATGCGGCAGTATCAGGTTCGCAATAATAAAAATTCGCGTTCCTAATTTCGGTAGTGATTTTCTTCATTCAATGTTTGAAATAGACTTAACCAGATCTAGCATTCTTGCCAGAGCTCAAATAACCGAATTAATTTTTGAAATTGCACCTAAGATAACATACCTACCTTTGTTATGTTTTTCGATTTATTTGCAGAACATGCAATTAAGAAACAATTCCTCATAATTATATTTCGCACAGATGATTCCTTTACAAATACCGCATATTTGTTGATAAAGTTTTCATCCAAACGTACAGCTTGTTGTCAAGTAAAAGTCAAATATATTGACGTTTTCAGTTATATATATATATGGTTTTATGGGGTTGCTACAGAGTGCTTAGTATATTGTCTTCCCTTTGAAAACACGGTTATAGTTGATATTAGTTGCCTATAATTGCTTACATTCACTTCATTTGAAATTTGGTGGATAGTTGTCTCATTGGTAATCATACCACATCTCCTTATCATGTGTTTAGCGGAATATTAGAAAATTGTGGCTGTTTATAATTGTAGTCTAACGGAAAAAAATAATTGAACTGCTACTGAAAACAGACATACAGCACAGAAATGTACCAGCAATGTTTAAATTCAATTCGCTAAAATTATTTATAATAAGTAGCCAAAGAAATATGATTTTAATCTAATTAAAGCTATTTTAGGTTGGGGAAAACTACATGTTATTATGTTGCTTGTGTAAAGTAAGTTATTCTGAACATTAGTAAAACGACGCACTAGGTAAAACCACGACTTGAAGAATCGATTGAAATTAGGATCGATTCCGTCGGCAGGGTAATGTATGTCTTCAGTTGATGCTGTACGGGTTAAATGATGTTATGCATGTTTTTGAAGATGGGCGAAAATTACTATAAAAGATAATAAAATGCAAAACGACCAAAAGACAAACAACAGAACACAAAACACACACCATAGAAAACTTAGCAACACAAATTCCATCAAACACCGGTGATGATCCGAGAGGGTGAGCACATCTTGCTCAACATGTGAACTTAAAAAAGAATCAATAAAGATATTCATGATTATATTTTTTCAATTCAGTACCGCTCAGGATAAATTGTGCTAATGGTTGTTCTATATGATTTCGTTTCACTCAATTCTTTGAATGTACACATATTGCTGTTTGTAATCTGGGAACATTCTATATAGATTTTTTGCAGTTGGATTTGAACTATTTGTTTTTTCAATATACATGATAAGTCCTCAACTAAGAATGATTCGTCCCTTTCGTTTTGTTTTTGTTTGTTGTTGTGTGTGCTCTGTACAGAACCTGGTCTCTCTAATATGTGAAGCCACTTTTAAATCATGATTAGCTGTGTTCTAGTATTGTGCTATTTCAACACTGCACACGTTACGGCAGACCTCATGTCTTGCATAATTGCTTACATCCACTTCATTTGCACATAGTTCTCTCATTTGCAATCATCCCACATTTCCATATTTTAATATATATAAGTAAAAACTGACACATTTTAGTTAAGAATACAATATGTCTTATTTCGTCGATGTTGCATTTTAGTATGCTAAAATCATGATATTTTGGGTCGGAAAAAAATTTGTATATATATCTTAGAAGCAGAGACTTAAAGAAAAAATGACATGTAAGAGATAACTGTATTGTATTGGAAGTTTTTGCTGACGTCAACGGTATGCTTCTGGTGTCAAACGTAAACACCAGGTGTTTCCTGGCTTCTTGTCCACCTCAAAATGTAATAAAATGTGTTTAAAAGACGATTTCTCGGCGCAAAATGTGAGTTTCTTTTTTTTTTTTTTTTATTTTTGAAAAATTTATATGTCAATACATTCCGGAATGCAAAATGTCGGCTGTCCTTAGTTACATACAAGAAGATAGAGAATTTTACGCTGATTGGCATCCGTTGATACAAAATAATTGCGTTAGAATTGTGCGCTGTTTTGTTTTGTTTTGTTTGTCCTTTCATCTATTTTGTACTTGAGCATGGTGATGTTGTTTGCATTTATTTTTTTATTTATTTTTAACCCCACTGTCACTGTCTCCCCTCCCATGATTTTTGATACATTCAGCTAAAATGGAATTAAAACACAGATAAGCGCATTCGAACATGTAAAACTCTGCACAGGTAGAGAAAATCAATCATTATACACTTGCCAACATAATCATATCGCGTCTTAACTACTTATACTAGACGCACATGATTATGCTGATGTTAATTAATAACATTAACGTAACAAATTTTTCTGCCGCAGATGCGCATTTTGACAATAAATGTCCTTTAAATATGCTCAAGATCAATATATCTGAAAATCTTAAAACTTATTCAAACACTGAAAAGCTTATAAACAAAAATTGACAAAAAGTATAGTCAAGGAATCCGAGCTTTGCATGAAGGAGATATATTCAAAAGTTTTGGATAATTTCCAAAATTTTGTAACAGTTACCTAAACTAACAATACAACTTTGACATGCTTTATAAAATCATTCCGTAACATTCTGTTAAAAAGTCTGAACAACAAGTACTGTTGGTTGCCATACAATTATCATGACAATCACAATCACATTGTGTACATCCACAGCCATTTGTTTGACAAATACCGCGACATGATGGCATACATATACTAGGTTCTGTGAAAAAGAAAAATATTCAGTTATTTTTTTTTAACTTATATATATGGTACAGGACATTTTACAAGAAATGCATAACATAAAATGTTTGTCAAATCATCTGAAATAAACGAGGTTGAGTTACCCGTTCACAGCAAGCAACATTTAGCCTGTCACTATTCAAACTAAATATAATATATTCCTACCAGAATGTACCGTAAAGAGTATTTACCATTCTAATGCAATTCGTTTGTAACGATAATTTTTTATTGGACGTTGACAAATATTTTTAAGGGTTAGATTCCACGTCCTGCCAGTCCGTAACTAAGAAAGCCACCATTTTGAATTCCGTTTTTTTTTTTTTTTTTTGGTATGTAATTTCTCACAAAATAAACAAGAAAGTCACATTTTGAACCTCGAAATCTTATTTTTGTCAACATTGAAACCATTCTGAAGCGTACGAAAGGTAAAAATACGTCTAGTGTTTATGTTTGACATCGAGAGTATACATGTGACGTCACATTGTTTATATGCTAAAGACTATGCAACAGTTTCGTGGACTTTTTTATTTGCGTCATTTTAAGCCAAAATATTCTTAAATGGAATTTATTTTAATATGCTGCATTAGAATGGAAATAACTGTACTGTATTTTAAGCTTGGCCTTCGTAAAATCTACGTTTTACGAAGGCCAAGCTTAAATTACAATACAGATATCTTCTAAATCTTCCCCGGACAATCCATCAGATTAATATTGAGCGATCCTTTATTCATGTTATTCTACCCAGCGCATATGAACAAGTAAATGATATGTAGGTTTTTTAAGAATTTTCGATCTTTTTCAGATATTGTATTGTAGTAGATGAAGTACTGTTCAGACTGTTTGCTTGCAATCAAACCAGAACTGTTTCTTCGTACAGGAAAATACAAGCTGCTATAGCTAAATGTCTGAACAGAACTGAATATTTCTACCGCAGTAAAAAAGTCAAGAAATTAACTACATGTACAAAACTTAAACTTAATATTGTACTGTCCATTTTTTAGAGAGCTGTTATTAGATCGATATCACAGTTTCAGTTCAAATTTGGGTTACTAGTGATGGATAAAAAAGTGAAAAACAAAGTTTAATTTGGAAATGCGTTGCACTACCTGTGAACTTTTTTGTTTGTGTTCATACCTGCTAAAATATAAGAATGAATGAAAAACAGAAGAAATATCTACAGACCACAAGTTGATCTCGATTTTAAACCATAGGAATCAAAAACAGTATGAAGTTGTCGGACATTTTAACCTTGTATATGAGCAAAACATATTTTATTTTTAAACTTAGGTTTGTATTTTTTAGGCAAAATTGTTCTAAGATAATTAGATTTTTATTTTCTTCGCGTCCCTATTGGGTCATTTATCTGCTGAAGTTATATATGTGTAATATTCTTGTCGTTTGAATGTATAGGTTAAAGCAATCCTTCTACATCTAGAAAAGCGCTTAAGACGCACAAAATCCTAAAATTGTTTTTTGGATATACATTTAAACTATGTAAACCTTACAACAACAGACACAAACGTCATTCAAATAATTCATATCGCAACAAAATTTCATTTTGAATAAATAAGCTTTAACATTTGTTTTACATATCATTTCGTAGCTTATATATCAAATAATATTTACCGTAACAACATTTTTTATGATGACAGCACCCATGCCCATTCAAACCTATTTCTGTTGATAAACATTTTCTTTTACACTTTCCATTTATTGCAGAACATCGTGTGCCATTTCCTTCTAAAAAATAGCATCAAAAGAAATGAATTAACTTAAATTGTTGATGTTTGTATTTGAAACCTAATGAACGTAACTGCTTTCTTAGTTAATGTATTTTATTTTACAATTATCCATAAAAAGAGGTATTTTCAAACCTTATGGCTGCATGAAACATGTAAAATGAACTGTGGCATGTGTGATCAATTTTTTAATTTTGACTATTTTGTGGTCCCTTTTCTTTTTGAGTAAACCGATTTAATAACCAACCTTTTTTTCTTTGAAAGGGATGAATAGGGGTTTTGTCAATGATATTTTTAAAACATAGTTTTTAGTTTGTATCAATAATTATATGTCTATTTACGGTAACTACATCGGTGTTTTCGTGGTAGAGCTATCGCCTCGACAGCTCTTGGGAATAAATTCAAAGATATCAAAGGAACCTTTAAATGTATAAGTACAAAAACTAACAATGCCTTGAAAAAAAAAGAAAAACGACCAAAACACAAACAACAGTATACAAAACACAACATAGAAAACTAAAAACTGAGCAATACGAACCCCACCAAAAAGTGGGTGTTATCTCATGTGCTCCGAAAAGAAAAGCTGATCCTGCTCTATATGTAGCACATACAGTTTTGCTTATGTAAGTACACATCCTGCAGAAAGTCTAATTCGGTAGGTAGGTCGGAGGAAAGTGGACGTGATATTCCATAACACTTAACCAACTAATTAACTCGTGATAACGTCTGTAAAATTTCCGAGGAGATGATTGAAACTTCACCACTTGTAAATCTAGTGAGCAGCAACAATCCATCAATAACATATTGATAGGAAATACATGCATACTCCATGTACAGGCGCTCTTGGAATGTTTTTACATAAAAATGGAAAATTCAAAATTTGGAAGCTGAAGTCCTCTTCTTTTCTCAACCGGTTCTAATTGTTAATTTCTGGATGTAAGTAGACTTAACTGTATCAAACATGAATTAATCATATTTCATCAACATGGATTCGTTGTTGATGATAAACACATATCAATCAACTGGCTAGTTCCATTGTGTTAACCTCTTCTATGGTTAGTTTTATGCATTAACTTAAGCCGTTATTTCATTCCCTAAATACGTGTTTGTAATCACAGCATATAGATATATAGGCATATAAATGCATATCTTGCTGACATTTATCTGTTCGAAAAGATTTAAAACATAAGATGATTCATCTATAAAAGTAGCACAAAAATAAAAGCTACAACTACGTCCTACCTTGTGAAACCATGATAATAATCAGGAACGTCAAAATTGTGAACTTCATGTCGACATGTCATGTACCACGTAAATTCAGCATGTGCATACGAAAACTGTGATTTTATACTAACAGGTGGTGCGTTGCTTATACAAATATTTAAATTCGTTTAAATTTAAAAGAATGTGATGGAAATGATAAAAAGATTTTTAGAGGCCATTTCTTTTCTAAGTTACTGTTTTAATACTAAGATATAACACTTATTATGAATATTTGTATACTAATGTACATACCGTGATAATAAAAAAATACATTGAAGGCTAGATGTTTGAAGCTATAAATGATATATAATTCGATTGAAAATGCTTTACGATTAAATGAAGACTTACATTATCCCGTTATACATATGAATAAATAATTTAAAAGCTGTAAGTACAGCTCTATTTTATGGAATATAAATATAAGAAGAAGTGATGTGATTGCTATTGGGACAATTATCCACTACAGGTAAACCAAAGTTGATGTAAGCTGTTATAGGGCAACGTACGGCCTTCAACAATAACATTAACCTAAAATTTTAAGAATTTTTGAGGTGTTGCGACAATCAATTTCACTAGAAACATTCTACGCAATCAGTGAGATATTCAATTGCAAACGATTTGTGTAAAATCAAAAGCAAAGGGACCAACGCAAAACAGTCAAAACAATCTACTGCAATGATTAATCATTCCATGTACATAGTAGTACGGATAATGTAAATTCAATGTTTTCAACATAATGTTTAGATAATCTCCTTTGAAGGTAAATCGCTGAATTTAACGCACAGCTATTGCGTTTTTATATGTTAATAATAGTAGCATGTTAATCGGTTATAATATTACTGGCAAATCCTAATTTAAACAATTTGCTGGGTTCGTGCTGCTCAGTCATTAGTTTTCAGTTTTGTATTTTTATACTATTGGTCTTTTTTCATCGTTTTATCATTTTTTGTGTTTTTTTTACCTCTAGTTTCAACAACTAATGTCATCAGTGAGGCTAGCAATCAAACTATTTGTTACTAGAAAACGCAATTCAAATGTCAACAAGGTTCACCTGCACTTATGTGTCTTACTTTGCTACACAGCTAAAAATCAGTAATAAAAATAAAAGTATCCTATAAAATTCAAAAACATCAGTGAACATAACCAAATAACTTGCTGATTAAATTTTACATGTAGATCTTTGAAACGCCAAGGATAGTTAAAACCTAACACAGTAGACACCATATTTTTTACGAGCTGATTAAGTATTTATGCTTCCTATGTTTGATATCAAGGTGTAATACCATTGATTTCCCCCTATTAGTCTTTGTTAAATTTGCACTTTTCCAAAAATTGTGCAGAATTTATCTTTGTTTCAAATAAAGAAATACTTGGCATGGGTAAAGTTTTATCCTGTCCAGTGCTATAGACAAAATTTCACATAATATTTCATTGCATATAAGAAAATGACCGTCACTGGAAGTTAACCAATCGAATTTCACCCCTTTTTTTCCCCGTGTACAAGCTTTAGTAACCATGTAACCTCAAGTTTCCAATATATTCTATAGAAACACCAAAAAAAAATAAGGGTGCTTTGAAACACCCAAGATATATGTTTATGACTCAGAATTTTTTTACTGCAATGAAATGTAGGATTAATTTCCTACAACTGTCAAATTCAAGGGAATATTTTTTTCTCGACCATTTTTCGTATGCAACAGGATGTGACGTACTATGATTTTGGTGGTATTACACCTCAATGATAAAGAAACTTTAAACGGAGCAAGGAGCATGTTAATCTATTTTTATACGTTGAAAGCAACTGCTATTGAAAAATCAAAAACAAACAAAAAATACACTGTATGCATTGTGTGCGTCCAGCGTTCTTTTTTTTTTTTTTGATAAACCTGCATCAAGAATGCTAAAATCCAACTAAGTAAATCCCAACAATGTTTAAATGCATAAAATGCTACGTAACCAAAATGAACATCAACAGTATAACCCACTTTATCCGAGACTAACTTTATAATTCGTATAAGTTATTCTCTATATCAAGTCACATCGGATTGGTTATTTGATTTTTTTTAATACAAATAGACTAGGTTTATTTAAATTGTATAATGCCACGTTATGTTTGAAATGTGCATTGCTGTTGAAAGTTAAAAAAAAAAGAAGTCGTCACTTTGGACACTATCAGTTTACCCTGTTGACACGGTTTTGAGAAATCTAGCAGACCTTAAATGTGAAATAAACAAAAAAAATTGCAGTTTTATAGTCACATGGCCTCTATAATAGTTGAAGATTTTTATTCTGAATTAGGACTGTGAAAAAATACATGTACAGACTTGACAGAATAAACTAAGAGTGTAGAAGCATTGCGTGAAATGGATCAGTTCACCATGGTACATTATAAATTATGTTAAGTATATACTCTTTATGTTGTATTTAATCTTTACATCCTTTAAAGTATACGCATGTTATTTTAAGGTTCAAGTTAAGTTCATATATCTTTAATTGAGTGAGTGAAGCTTTTGGATTTCCAAATATTTTGAACTGGAGCATTACTAAAGACATGTTAGAAGAAGAAATGTGCATCGTGTGCAGTTCCATTAGTACTGTAAATAATTTTAAACAATATAATTCAGGAGAAATCTTTTACAGTTCTTTTGATAAAAATGTCTGCCATCGACAATTATCACAAGAACAATCATATAATTCATTATCAAGTCAACAAACACATAGATCAATCAGCTTTATAAATATAACTAGAGGCTCTCAAGAGCCTGTGTCGCTCACTTTGGTCTATATGCATATTCAACAAAAAACACTCTCCAACATTGTAGACGAGAATAGAATTATTGACAAAAATTTCTGGTTTTTTTTTTTTGTATCTTATATTGCTGATCATTGAAGTTTGTTTAGTTTCTTTCTATCTTCAATGATCTTATTTAGCTTTTGCTCCAAACACCAAAGAGGGTAAAAAAACTCCTATAAAAAGTAACAGTCTACAAATTATATCAGCAAAATGACATGTTAGTAGGTCTTGTCTTGCTTATCATTTTTGATTATTTAAGTTTCTATCTATCTATTATAATTATTATCATATAAGGCAAAACGCAAAAAGAATAGTAAAAATCGTAATTAAAGGGCAAAACCTCCAATAAGGAGTCGTCGGACAATTTACGCCGTTTGTCTTAATTGTAGTTCTTGTCTTGTTGATCATTTTTGTATACTAGTATTTAAGTTTCTTTCTATCTATTATAAGTTTTAAGATAAAAGACAAAAACGCAAAACAAATTGTACAAATCGGCATCAAAGGACAATAACTCTCATAAGGATTCAACTGATGATTTTAACCATAAGACTTATTTGTAGAAATTGTCCTTCTGATTATTTTTGCGCTTTAAAGTTTCTCTCTATCTTTTATAGTTTTCAAGATAATAGGCAAAAATCGAAAAAAAAGTGGTAATATTTGTCATTTAAGGGCAATAACTCCTACAGGAAATCGTCTGACAGTATTGACGTATATACATAATTGGTAGAGCTCAACATTCTAAACAATTTTACCCTTTCAGATTTCCTCTCTTTATAATGGTTATCAGATTAATAGACAAAACTTGCATTTTACCCCATATGTTCTAATTTTTGCCATGTCGGCCATCTTTGTTGGCAGGCAGGGTCATCGGACACATTTTTTAAACTAAATACCTAATGATGATTGTGGTCAAGTTTAATTCTATTTGGCCCAGTAGTTTCAGAGGAGAAGATTTTTGTAAAAGATTACAAAAAATTAAAAAAAAATTTTTAAATTGACTATAAAGGGCAATAACTCCTTAAGGGGTCAATTGACAATTTTGGTCCTGTTAACTTATTTGTAGATCTTACTTTGTTGAAGATTATTGCAGTTTACAGTTTATCTTTATCTATAATAATATTCAAGATAATTTCCAAAAACTGCAAAATTTCCTTAAAATAACTTATTCAGGGGCAGCAACCCAACAACGGGTTGTTTAATTTGTCTGAAAATATCAGTTCAGATAGAACTTTACTTGATGAACAGTTTGACTGATTGTCAGATTTGCTCTAAATGTTTTAGTTTCAGAGATATAAGCCATAAACTGCATTTTGTCCCTTTGTTCTATTTTTAGCCATGTCGGCCATTTTGGTCGGCGGGCGGGATCATCGGACACATTTTTTAAACTAAATACCCTATTGATGATTTTGGCCAAGTTTGATTCTATTTGTCCCAGTAGTTTCTGAGGAAAAGATTTTTGTAAAAGATTACAAAAATTATGAAAAATTGTTAAAAATTGCCTATAAAGAGCAATAACTCCTTAAGGGGTCAATTAACCTTTTTGATCATGTAAACTTATTTGTAGATCTTACTTTGCTGTACATTATTGCTGTTTACAGTTTATCTATATCAATAATAATATTGAAGATAATAACCAAAAACTGCAAAATGTTCTTAAAATTAAAAATTCAGGCGCAGCAACCCAACAACGGGTTGTCTGATTTGTGAAAATTTCAGGGCAGATAGATCTTGAACTAATGAACAATTTTACTCCGTAACATTTGCTCTAAATGCTTTAGTATCAGAGCGTAAGCCAAAATCTACATTTTACCCCTATGTTCTATTTTTAGCCATGGCGACCATCTTGGTTGGCGGGCCGGGTCGTCGGACACATTTTTTAAACTAGATACCCCAATGATGATTGTACCTTTGGTCCAGTAGTTTCAGAAGAGAAGATGTTTGTAAAAGTTAATGGACCACGGACGACGACGGACGACGGACGCCAAGTGATGAGAAAAGCTCACTTGGCTCCTTTGGCCGGGTGAGCTAAAAATAAGGAGATGTGGTAATATTGCCAATGAGACAACTATCGATCAAAGTTCAAAGGAAGTGTATGTAAGCAATTATAGGCAACCGTAAAACTGTTTTCAAAATTTAATGCAGAGTGCAATACTCCTATGACTTGAGTCAACAGAGGGGTTCAGCTGAAAAAAAAAACAACAAGAGAGTGTTTTTTTAAACAATTCAAAACAAATGCAACATGTACTTCTGAAATAATAACTGAGATAGATAGATTTGAGTAAACTGTGATGTTTAAACATATTAAATCAAAATAATCAGTCTATGGTTCACACAAACATCTTCAAGCAGTCTTTTAAACACAGTCATGCTTTTTAATGTGCAATTACATCTTATTCATTATTGAGAAAATATAGAATTATTGTTTTATAAAAAGGTGTGTATCTTTGAATGAGGTATGCACTGACTATGTATCGTTATGCACTGTCCATGTATGGGGTGTGCACTGTCTATTTATTTGAATGAATTGTCCATGAATGCCCTATGCATTGTTCATGTATGCGTTATGCACTGGCAATGGATGCCGAATGCACTGCTCATATATCCCGTATGCACTGTACATGTATTCCGTTTGCACTGTTTTTTGTATGTGCTATACACAGTGATGTTACATTACATTAGAGTATGCTGTATTTATCTACAATGTTAAAGTGATAAGATTGTAAGGCATCAACTCATCTCTTAAGATTACACGTACTCAAATTCTTACATAGCATTTTTAAAAATCGTGTTATTCAATACATATAATTGTTCTTTACAATCACTTTACTATTTTGTCCTGAGAGGTTTTGAGATACTATGTTTCTCTTCGATATGTCCAGATATCCATAACCTTCAAAAGGCTTGAGTTGACAACTTTTGGGGAAATATAATCAATAATTGCCCCATTAACCACAAACTTGAATATCTGTTATCTAAAACAATCAAAGTGGTTAAATATTATGTTTTCAACAAAATAACAGTAAGCCACCTCGTTATATCATATATTTGCACAAATTGCTAATTTTTTATAAAATACACATTGTTAGTTTTTAATGACATACCTTAATATTTGCCCCTGGGTCTGTCTTGGAACATACACATATTTTTCGTCATTATCGTATGCAAGTACAAATACCTCACTTTCTGCATTGGCAAGTACTCTCACTACCCCATTTGTTAGATCTAATTCTTTCAAGTAGCCAGAAGAAGTCGAAAACAGCAGTTTTTCTTCAATACCTGCAATGAACATTTCGCACATCAATTCAGGCTGATATTTGATGAAAGCAAAAAACAAATAATATGGTAAATACAAGACAATTTAACATTTATCTTTTTTGGAAGGGAATCAAAAATAGGTACCTGAAAAAAAACACCATGTTTATCAATTTAAACGGACAAATTAGCAAATGTTTTGCTCGAATCCCAATAGCATATTTCACATAAAATGCATTTCACTATGTGCTAATTTTATATATGTTCGGGGGAATAATCAATATAACAGAAGCAACACATAGAATATCAATATCTAAATTAATGGTACTACAGATACAATTAAGTTTGTCTCATACACTGGCTTACAATTAGAAATTGACGTTGAGGATCGTTGGCTAGCTTAAACTAAAACATACATATTAATTACAAATGAAATTATAAATGTAACTTTCGTATTTGAACTTTCTTCTTCGAAATAAACCATTCTAGCATAGCCTTCATGTGTAGTATATATGCTCCTTACACAAAACATTAAAAACTGCTCTAACTGAGTAATGACGAAGAACAACTGAAATTGACACTACATAAGTTTAACGGTCGTCAGCACACATTGTTTGACATATACAAACAGATACTAAGTGTCGGTTTCTCAATCCACTAGTGAAATGTTTTCGTGTTCTAAGATCTTTAGATATCAGTATAGCAATCTGATTTGTAATTTTATCGGTTGCGTCTTATTCCTTTTGTGACGTTCTGACTGAGTGTGATTCGCAGAGCAGAATACGCTTACCCTTTCGGCCAACCCTGTTACTAATTTACGAGATTTGAACATCGCAACACAACTGTTGCCTTGATTTATATATTCAATTGATATGACATTCCAACATATGCAAACAAGACACGATACTAATTCCTTCTTGTCAGAGTTGGAAATTTTATTTCGGGCATCACTCTTGTATATGTTGTTTTTACTAATTTCCTTAATCGAGTGATTTCAATCTATAGTTAATATAACAAAAATGAGAAGACATGGTATGATTTCCTTTCTTGAAATAACTATCCACAAGATAGCAAATGACGTTGATGTAAGAACCTATTGGTCTAAATACAATCTTCCACAATGAGCAAACACTTAGTGTATAGTATGACAAAATGCAAAACATTTCAAACGAGAAAAACAAAAAAATACAAAATAATAACCTTAAATAAATAATATGGTAAAGAGTAACCCACTAAATAATACTTGCCTGACGTACAATATAGCAAGCTTGTACTACTCTCAGATCTATACTTTGAGTGTTTTTTTTTTGTTGTTGTAAGGGATGTATGAATACCCTGCCACGTCCGGTCTGTGTTTTTGTGCTTTGTATCCATCTGATTAGTTAAGCCCTTTTCAAATGATTTTTATAGTTTGTTCTTATGTTGAACTGTAACACCATTGTCCCAGGTTAGGGGAGGATTGGTAGCTCACAAACATGTTTAACCTAGCCATATGCTATATGCGCCTATTTGTTGTAAGTGAATATTTATAAACAACTGAAAAAATTTACCTTATAGACTGTTCATATATTTAAAGAACTGATAGTTCAATTGAATATTTGCAAATCTTACATACATGGTGATGATGATTAAATGCTTTAGGGCATCTAAATAAAATAACTACATTTACGATGACGATCAGTACGACGACAATGACGACGACGACGATGACGACGACGACGACGATGATGATTGGTGATGATGATAATGATGAGAAGGAGGCGGAGGAGGGGGAAGAGGATCATGATGATCATGATGATGAGCAGGAGGAGGAGGAGGAAGAGGGGGAGGATCATGATGATCATGATGATGAGCAGGAGGAGAAGGAGGAAGAGTAGGAGCAGGAGGAGCAGGATTGAAACGTTAAAAAGCATACTGAAAATATAAAATACGTAAGATCATAGAAAGATAACATACAAATTATTGATTATTTCTTACAATAAATACCAGTAATTATGTAAAGCACTATCGTCATGCCCAACCAAGTCTTTGATAGCTTCATGTTTTTACCAAGGGATCAATTGAAAAATCCAAGGCACGTCAGTCCTAAAATTTATAAAATATGAAACAGAATTGTGGCATTTAAATGTATGAAGGCATTATAAAGAATGGAGTGAAAAAAGGAACGTGTTATATACAGCTGAAATTGATTAGTACATACAGGTATAACTGCCGCATCGCAGTCTCGAAAAAAAGAAGCAAATTTTCAAAACAAATTAAATTCATTTGAATTTCATAAAGTTTTTCCTTTTTTGCTCAATATAATTTTATTCAGCACGGGTGTATAAGAATGTAAGCATCAAATATCAGAAAAGCTTTTTAAATACAATTGTCGAATGAAAATCACATAAAAAACAGCTATGAAATACAACGATTATCACAATGTCATAATTAATCTTAACCCGTAAGATGGTAAAGATCTGTACTACCTATTAATAGTTCCAAAAAAATATAATCAACAAAACATACTAATGACGAATCATTCGTATTTACGGACAATGTTATTGCTACCACTGGGTCGCTACCTCTTCTGCTGGACTGTGTGTTCCCCAGGGTATCACCAGCCCAGTAGCCAGTACTTTAGTACTTGAATTAAAAATACGGATATTAAGTTTGCAATTGTAACTCAAGGATTATATCTCCCTCTTGGGACTTGCCCGGCTTTGGTTATACTTTTCGTCCTTTTTGGTTTATAGGATTTGCAATGTTTAATAAGTTTTTGAATTTCAAAAATTTTGGCCTCTAACATCACTGTGCATATAGGTCGATAAATTGGTAACGTTAGTGTTATTATTAACACTTGGTCAACACCTCTGTTTGTGGTCTATTAGTCCCAGAAGATATCAAAATCCCAGTAACCAGAAGTTCGGTCCTGGCATGAAAACATGGATATTATGATATAAAAATTTGCTGTAGCAAAATTTAGATATTATTTTAAGTTGAGGAAGAAATCTCCCTCATTCAAAACTCTGGTGTCTTGCCTGGAATTGGCTATACCTTTTGTCCTTGTTGGTGTATAGGCTCTTCATTGATTAATAAGTTTGGGATTTTCAAATATTTTGGCCTCGAACATCACTGAAGTGACTTGTATTGTCGAAATGCGCATCTGGTACAGTGTAATGGTATGTTAATATTTATAAGGTTATTAATAATTTCATTCATTGAGTTACTCCATGAACACATATCCCGTCGTGTAGGCACACACGATATAATTTTCCATGTAAAGACCAATTATGCCCATCAAATTTCTACGGGTTTGCTAAATTATTTTAAAGATAATGTTGGCAATGGCAACAATCAATCTAATATTTGATATGAACTTAAACTGATTTCATGCCAGTGCGTCATCTTCTGTCGTCGAACGAAACTCTAGTCTAGACTTTGTGAAGCATTATATTATTCGTACATGTTTTTTTTTCTATTTTAGAACATACTTATCGTTTTTAAGTCGGTTAAACAGTTTAGGTTGAAATAACCAGAATAGCAGGGAAAACATTTTGATTTGTTAAAATACATACGTAACAAAAGAATTAAAGTTATGAATCAGTTTTTTATTGGTTTTACGCGTTATCCGATGCTCAAACAGACATTTAAAGACGTAAACAATTTTTTGTAATAAACAATAGTTCAGTATAAAATTGCATTCAATTTCACCAGGACATGACAGTATGTTTTTGTAAAGCTTATAATTATATATTTTAAAACACTTTTTTTTAAATCGGTCATAAATTATATTTCATACAAATCTTGAAGGAGTAGACAAATACTGAATGAATAATTCTGTTTTGGGGTCTTCACCTTACGTTTTCTTATAGAAGCCCTCTATGCATTATAATTTTTCAATGTGTTTATAACTTTTAATTTGTCAGGTGTTATTTTAAAGCTATTCATTCCGGACAAGTCACACACAAAAAGCTCTTGAGTATTATAAATGTTATTCAGCTTAACATTACTTTTAACGGGTAAACAAGTGTTGCCTTGATCAACTTGTTTACACCGATAAGGATATCGTAATGGTATTTTAGTTTTGAAGACATTAGAAAATATCCATTCATTGAAATAAGTTATTAAATGTTTATATACATGTCATTCAAATTTTAATCAATGATCAACTAATTTACCACAGCTAATCTTTAATGATATGCACTTGTTAAGAAATGTGTGTATATTAAGTTATGAAAAGGAAACGTTGTGCTTACGTTAACTGGTAGAACCGAAACCCCTGCTGTGTCTGTCTTAAGACAGACAAATAAGACTTGGTGTTCTTCGATGATGTTTGTCTGTAATTATTGTTTTGATGAACCCGCTGTTGATGGTTTTTGTGGACTCTCGTACTTCCAAGTATTGTTTGTGATTTGAAAAAAAAACAAATTCAAATGTTTTCGTTCAATACATATATATTGAACTAACAGACAAAATGCTAGAAATATTATTTTAAAGTTTACAGTACTTTAAGGTAGATCGGATGACCTCTGTTATCTTTGATTATGATGATAATAAAGTCATGCTGATTGTAAGGTTTACAGTTTTCTCTGCTTATAAATCTTTAAGTTTGATCACGTCCTGGTTTTCTTACAACAATACACTTACTATGAACTAAATTTGAATTTTTGACTTATTAACCAAAATTAGTAGTGGAATTGAGATGGAAGAAAACAGACTTGCTAAATAGTGTACTATAGTGTAACATTGATATAAAACAACTGCATGAAGAATTTCAGGTTCTCCGGAATAAAAATGGATTTACAGAAGGTAACACGTAACTTCAACAGGAAACTTCATGTGAAATATACTATTGGTATCGGTATCGGATTCGACCCGGAACTTGTTAATTATTGTTAATGTCAATTAATTGAAAAAAAATAAAAGGGCCCGGAATGTTGTGATTTTTTAGCAACACCATTGTCCTCTATGAGTTATATATAAAGTTGCATTCTTTGATTCGTCGTTTTTACGTCATGCCGGCTAACAAATTGGACCTCGTTAATTTAGTAGTATAGATTATTTTGTTTTATTTTATTTTAAACCAGTCGTTTTAAGAACGTCACAAAATTATCCCATTATTAACCATTTGAGCAACATGCACTAATATAACGATCTGCTACATTTTTTTAAAGTTTTATGTTAAGTGGAAACATCATGGTAATCAATGCAATGAAAAAAAACGGATACTGTTAAGTAAACGATAGTTCAATAAACTTATTTTCACTTTCGTACAAGTCATGATACAAGTATGGTATGTTGACATGAGCATCATGTTAAAAGAACACTGTGACTATTGTATTTTACCATAAAAAGGAAGTTACTGGTGAAATATTGAAAAATCAAAAACAAACAAAAAATACACTGTATGCATTGTGTGCGTCCGGCGTTCTTTTTTTTTTTTTTTTTTTGATAAACCTGCATCAAGAATGCTAAAATCCAACTAAGTAAATCCCAACAATGTTTAAATGCATAAAATGCTACGTAACCAAAATGAACATCAACAATATAACCCAATTTATCCGAGACTAACTTTATAATTCGTATAAGTTATTCCCTATATCAAGTCACATCGGATTGATTATTTGATTTTTTTTAATACAAATAGACTAGGTTTATTTAAATTTTATAATGCCACGTTATGTTTGAAATGTGCATTGCTGTTGAAAGTTAAAAAAAAAAAGAAGTCGTCACTTTGGACACTATCAGTTTACCCTGTTGACACGGTTTTGAGAAATCTAGCAGACCTTAAATGTGAAATAAACAAAAAAAAATGCAGTTTTATAGTCACATGGCCTCTATAATAGTTGAAGATTTTTATTCTAAATTAGGACTGTGAAATAATACATGTACAGACTTGACAGAATAAACTAAGAGTGTAGAAGCATTGCGTGAAATGGATCAGTTCACCATGGTACATTATCAATTATGTTAAGTATATGCTCTTTATGTTGTATTCAATCTTTACATCCTTTAAAGTATACGCATGTTATTTTAAGGTTCAAGTTAAGTTCATATATCTTTAATTGAGTGAGTGTAGCTTTTGGATTTCCAAATATTTTGAACTGGAGCATTACTAAAGACATGTTAGTAGAAGAAATGTGCATCGTGTGCAGTTCCATTAGTACTGTAAATAATTTTAAACAATATAATTCAGGAGAAATCTTTTAAAGTTCTTTTGATAAAAATGTCTGCCCTCGACAATTATCACAAGAACAATCATATAATTCATTATCAAGTCAACAAACACATAGATCAATCAACTTTATAAATATAACTAGAGGCTCTCAAGAGCCTGTGTCGCATACCTTAGTCTATATGCATATTCAACAAAAAACACTCTCCAACATTGTAGACGAGAATAGAATTATTGACAAAAATCTCTGGGTTTTTTTTGTATCTTATATTGCTGATCATTGAAGTTTGTTTAGTTTCTTTCTATCTTCATGATCTTATTTAGCTTTTGCTCCAAACACAAAAAAGGGTAAAAAAAAACTCCTATAAAAGTAACAGTCTACAAATTATATCAGCAAAATGACATGTAGTAGGTCTTGTCTTGCTTATCATTTTTTATTATTTAAGTTTCTATCTATCTATTATAATTATTATCATATAAGGCAAAACGCAAAAAAAATAGTAAAAATCGTAAGTAAAGGGCAATACCTCCAATAAGGAGTCGTCGGACAATTTCCGCCGTTTCGTTCTATCTATTATGAGTTTTAAGATAAAAGACAAAAAACGCAAAACAAATTGTACAAATCGGCATCAAAGGGCAATAACTCTCATTAGGATTCAACTGATGATTTTAACCCTAAGACTTATTTGTAGAACTTGTCCTTCTGATTATTTTTGCACTTTAAAGTTTCTCTCTATCTTTTATAGTTTTCAAGATAATAGGCAAAAATCGAAAAAAAGTGGTAATATTTGTCATTTAAGGGCAATAACTCCTGCAGGAAATCGTCTGACAGTCTCTTTATAATGGTTATCAGAATAATAGACAAAACTTGTATTTTACCCCAAATGTTCTAATTTTTGCCATGTCGGCCATCTTTGTTGGCAGGCAGGGTCATCGGACACATTTTTTAAACTAAATACCCTAATGATGATTGTGGTCAAGTTTAATTCTATTTGGCCCAGTAGTTTCAGAGGAGAAGATTTTTGTAAAAGATTACAAAAAATCTTAAAAAAAATTTAAAAATTGACTATAAAGGGCAATAACTCCTTAAGGGGTCAATTGATAATTTTGGTCATGTTAACTTATTTGTAGATCTTACTTTGTTGAACATTATTGCAGTTTACAGTTTATCTTTATCTATAATAATATTCAAGATAATTTCCCAAAACTGCAAAATTTCCTTAAAATAACTAATTCAGGGGAAGCAACCCAACAACGGGTTGTTTAATTTGTCTGAAAATATCAGTTCAGATAGAACTTCACTTGATGAACAGTTTACCTGATTGTCAGATTTGCTCTAAATGTTTTAGTTTCAGAGATATAAGCCATAAACTGCATTTTGTCCCTTTGTTCTATTTTTAGCCATGTCGGCCATTATGGTCGGCGGGCGGGATCATCGGACACATTTTTTAAACTAAATACCCTATTGATGATTTTGGCTAAGTTTGATTCTATTTGGCCCAGTAGTTTCTGAGGAGAAGATTTTTGTAAAAGATTACAAAAATTATGAAAAATTGTTAAAAATTGCCTATAAAGAGCAATAACTCCTTAAGGGGTCAATTGACCATTTTGATTATGTTAACTTATTTGTAGATCTTACTTTGCTGTACATTATTGCTGTTTACAGTTTATCTATATCAATAATAATATTGAAGATAATAACCAAAAACTGCAAAATTTTCTTAAAATTACAAATTCAGGGGCAGCAACCCAACAACGGGTTGTCTGATTTGTCTGAAAATTTCAGGGCAGATAGATCTTGAACTGATGAACAATTTTACTCCGTTAAATTTGCTCTAAATGCTTTAGTATCAGAGCGTAAGCCAAAATCCACATTTTACCCCTATGTTCTATTTATAGCCATGGCGACCATCTTGGTTGGCGGGCCGGGTCGTCGGACACATTTTTTAAACTAGATACCCCAATGATGATTGTACCTTTGGTCCAGTAGTTTCAGAGGAGAAGATTTTTGTAAAAGTTAATGGACGACGGACGACGACGGACGACGGACGCCAAGTGATGAGAAAAGCTCACTTGGCCCCTTTGGCCGGGTGAGCTAAAACTAAGGAGATATGGTAATATTGCCAATGAGACAACTATCGACCAAAGTTCAAAGGAAGTGTATGTAAGCAATTATAGGCAACCGTAAAACTGTTTTCAAAATTTAATGCAGAGTGCAATTCTCCTATGACTTGAGTCAACAGAGGGGTTCAGCTGAAAAAAAAAACAACAAGAGAGTGTTTTTTTAACAATTCAAAACAAATGCAACATGTACTTCTGAAATAATAACTGAGATAGATAGATTTGAGTAAACTGTGATGCTTAAACATATAAAATCAAAATAATCAGTCTATGGTTCACACAAATATCTTCAAGCAGTCTTTTAAACACAGTCATGCTTTTTAATGTGCAATTACATCTTATTCATTATTGAGAAAATATAGAATTATTGTTTTATAAAAATAGTGTGTATCTTTGAATGAGGTATGCACTGTCCATGTATCGTTATGCACTGTCCATGTATGCGGTGTGCACTGTCTATTTATTTGAATGCATTGTCCATGAATGCCATATGCATTGTTCATGTATGCGTTATGCACTGGCAATGGATGCCGAATGCACTGCTCATATATCCCGTATGCACTGTACATGTATTCCGTTTGCACTGTTTTTTGTATGTGTTATACACAGTGATGTTACATTACATTAGGGTATGCTGTATTTATCTACAATGTTAAAGTGATAAGATTGTAAGGCATCAACTCATCTCTTAAGATTACACGTACTCAAATTCTTACATAGCATTTTAAAAAATCGTGTTATTCAATACATATAATTGTTCTTTACAATGTAATTAACACAATTTATTGTGTAAGTCCGAAGCGCTATTATGAATTTACCTTCATCAGGAACGCTCAAACATTTAAAGGCTAAGGATATATAAGACCTTAACATGTGAAGAGATATACAACCAAATGGAAACTAAAATGTAAAACTTATCTTAGATCAACTTTGCCTGAGGAAGTTTAAACCGTAGTTAGAAATTGTAAATACTTTTTTCATCGTATGGTGTTTGTGTTTTTGTTTCCATTTCCATAAAGGTCATCTCGAAAGGATCCTGCTCAGTTTACCATTTATGGTTGCTTTCTTATGTTGTTCCTATCTTTTACCAGGATCAATATCATCTGCAAAATCAAAACAAACAACACCAAAGGCAAACACATGCAAATTATGAAGAAGCACCATTAAAAACAAAGCATCTCCGATGAGGTGTCTTTAGATCATTTCCCTAGAATGAATTGTTAAGAGATGCGGGTCAATACAAATCAATACATAAAAACAAAATAATCAAAAAGTCATACATACTGTTTAAATTATATAACTTGAAAATAAAATTTATCGAAATATTGACACCTTTTTAGTCCTTTTGTGGGTTTTATGATAACCGCTTTTTTTATTCATTGAATTTCCCTGTAAGTATATTAAAAATCACCATGAAACAAAATATAATGCAAAAAAATATATATATTCGAATCTTTTTTCAACTTGTTTTGATAGAGGTGTGTTTTTAAGATTCAAACAGTTTCATTAATTTGACTTATGACAAAATTTAAAAATCTGTTTATAAAAACATACAATATAACGCGTTCATAAAAATCTATCGCCATATTTACATGAATTAGTTACACAATATGTAAGACACAAGAAAGCATGGAAGCAACAGTTAATAGTACACTAACAGTATTAGATATCATGCTATATCTAGAATCGGATTACAAATTAATACACGTTTAAAGAAAAGATAATATGTAATTACGAGTATATTTGAGAGCCCTTTATACCATTATATTGTAACATCATATAATTCACATGTGAAACACAAATATATATATTAGATATATACGTATATGTAAAAGTTAACGACACACAACAACAATTATATTTTTTTATCATATACCAATACTTTGCCAGTGCGTATTCTCAGATGTTTAAGCAAAACAATAATAGATATCAAAGTATGTAATGTTTAGCTTACCTATTCATTTAATCACTGAATGTATACTCTTTTAAAACTGTATTTATTTAGTAATTGTAAAACTGTTTTTATCATTTCATGAATACTGCACGACCGCACCAATCATTTGTATTCAGCTGTATGTAGATGTCATACCTGCATATATACCGAACACCCACGATGCCTGGTCATTTATAATATGATGTTCCTTTCCGTCCAGTGACAATTTGTGTATTGTTCCGTTGGGTATGCCTTGACCAAAGTACATCCATCTGAAATTATATGTAAAAAAAAAAAAGAAATAATCGTGAATGTTAATATCAGGCATATTGCTCCATGACGATAATATTTGTTAAAACACGTCTGTGATATTAATTGCAGTGGACATTACTGAAGTAAAATAACATTTAATAAACATGTTGGTCTTAACAGAAGGTAGCAAAGTGTTTAATTATCAATAAACTAGAATCACAAGTAAAAAGAACAAAAAATCTGAACTCGAAGGAAAATTGAAAACCGACAGTCCTTTATCAAATGGCAAAATCAAAAGCTCAAACACATCAAACGAATGGAAAACAGCTGTCATATTCCTGACTTGGTACAGGCATTTTCTTATGTAGAAAATGGTGGATTTAAACCTGGTTTTATAGCTAGCTTAACCTCTCACTTGTACAAATTGTCGGCATTCCTATGAGAACGCACTGTGCGCCTCTTCTTGCCGATTTCTTCTTATATTCATATCAGTCGGGTTTCCTTCAGACACTTGTCAAAAACAAGAAGATCAAAGAAGCCAGATCATTTAATTTCACCTTCAGATATATTGATGGTGTTCTTTCCATTAACAATCCATACTTTTGTGATTAGGTTAACTCCATTAATATATCTCCCAGAACCAAACATTAAAGAACGACGGACACGGCTTCCTCCGCCTCATTTTTAGAATATACATCGAATTTGACATAAGCGGTCATCTCAGTACCAAAATTTATGACAAACGAGACGATTTTAATTTTTGAAATAATAAATTTCCCCCACCTTGACAGCAATATACCAACTTCACCGGCATATGGGATATACATTTCCCAACTCATTCGGTATTCAAGAGCTTGCAGCTGCTACTCAGACTTTATAAAACGTCACTAGTGTCGGAGCAAAAAGTTCATGAAACAGGGTCATGAACGTCTCGTCCTTTTTCTAAAAAAAAATCATCGGAAGGTACCAAAAATATTTCGTATCAACTTCACAAATATTACATGATGGTCTTGAAGTGTAGATTCTAGGTACTGACGTTATTTATCATCATAATTATGTGTTATAGTGTTCTTTGTTTTTGTCTATGTATATTTTTAACCTTTAATGTTTAGTCCAGTTTTGGTAATATCCTTTTGGCGAGGCTCAGTACTGATATATCCCGCCATTAAGTTATTGTGCTATGTTCATTTTTTGTATTTTTGTCTTTCATTTTTGTGCCTTTGTGCATTGTCTATAGAGTGTCTATATGCAATTTTGTGTTTCTTTGTTGGCATTGTTGTTTGTTTTTATAGTGATTAAGATAATAACACAATGTTGACTACTGTTCCCCAATTTTTGACATTTTTACCTACTATGTCTGATTGTTTTGCTCACAACATTATTGTCAATATAATTGAATTTTATGCGACTGTCATACAATTGAGAAGTTTAGCTAGCTATAAAACCAGGAAATGCTTGTACAAAGTCAGGAATATGACAGTTGTTTTCCATTCGTTTGATGTGTTTGAGCTTTTGATTTTGCCATTTGTTAAAGGAATTCCGTTTTGAATTTTCCTTTGAGTTCGGTATTTTTGTTAATTTCCTTTTTTTGTATGATAGTCGGAGGTAAACGATGCTAACCTCGTCGGCTTTCTTGAGATTTCCATGAAATTCTTACTACTCTGCTGGGATGTATTTTTATGAAAATAAGAAGATATGGTTTGATTGCAAACTCTCTATGAAGTAAATAAATGTTGTTAAGGAGAACAATTTACAGCTTCAATCATCTCTAGAAAGTATTTTTAACATATTTACCTCTTCTTTACAATATGTCGAAGTCTTTAAATGAATTGCACAAAATATATTTGTAATCAGATTTTTTAAACGATCATTTAATTAAATAAAAACACGTAAATGTCGTTAAAGATAGAAACAATAGGTCAACGTACGGTCTTCAACCATGAGCAAAACCCATACCCCATAGCATAGTAGAAAAGGTTGCCATATTATAAATGTAAAACATTTAAAACGAGAAAACTAACGGCCTGATTTATGTAAAAAATAATTAAAAAAAAACAAATATGAAGCAAGTATACAGTAACAAAGGACAACCACTGAATTACATGTTCCTGACTTGAGATAGGCAGATATAGAAGGTGGGGTTTAACATCGGATAGTGATACAACAGAACAACCGAATAAAATACTGTACAAAACAATAAACGAAAGACACATATGATAAACAGCAACAAACAGAAACTAGGAGCATAAAGAATGTTGCCAGGTTAACCAGGGACAGTTGTGTACCAGCACAACATAAAGATAAACTATAAAAATCAGTTGAAAGGACTTTACTCGTCAGATTGATATAAAGCACAAACACAACTATCAAAAAGGCAAAAGACATAAAGTACAGATTTGACAGTTATTAAAATCTAGTTTAAAGTCAATAACAACTAACAAATCAATCATGTATCTAAGACTAAAATGTAAACACCCAACATCATTTAGTATAAAGACGTCCTTCACAGTAATAGGAAAACATGACCTTGTCCACTGCAAAAGTATAGGTATCGACAGATTGTAAGACCTTAAATGTGCATATTTGTATAACAATAATACTTAGTTGGGTTTAAATTTATTGATCACAAAATCAATATTAATACCGATAAAAACGAAGCTCTATTTACAATGCTGAATTGGTAACTCTTTAGAATAAGTTTAAAGATCGACAAGTTTACACGGATCGTATTTAAATATACGGGCTCGAAAAACATCATAATCATAAAATTATGATGTACTATCCCGTTTGTAATACGTTTTCTACAGGTTCAACTTCCAATCAAAATCTTTGTTATTATGAACTAATTTAATAAAGGTTTTAAGTCATGTGTGGTAGCGAAATCATTGATTTAATCATTTACCAGTAATACATAGGTTACGTTCATTGAAATCTAAATCTTCACTACAGACACGGGCAGAGCGAACGAGTTGGGATATATCAACACCGTTAGATGATGCAAATGGAACATCACCTTCCAAAAAAAGGAAAATTAACAATAAGGAACGAAAAATCGGCCGTTTTGTTGTAAAGTTTCATGTGGAGTCTCCCGTGTAAAACTGAAATATCAAAATCTAGGAAATGACTTTCGCCATAAACTGTGATGTATAAGTCTGCAATTAAAGGAACGCAATTGGTGCCCATATGAATACTTACAACCTGTTGATAAACTTTATTGCCAAAACGTAAATAAATGTTGTTAAGGAGAACAATTTACAGTTTCAATCTTCTCATCACACCTCTAGTAAGTATATGTAACATAAGTCTTTAAATGAATTGCACAAAATACATTTGCAACCAAATTTTTTATATGATCATTTAATTTAATAAAAACACTTTTGTTTTATGAAATTGTGTAGAAGTGTAGTGTAAAGAGTTGACAAGTCAAAACTGTCAACGGAATTAAAGGAATTGTATACACTATTTGCATATGCTTTATTACAAAAGTTAATGATGAGTTCTTTGATAGTCATTATTGAAATAGTTAAAAGCAAGCACTGAAAGAGTAGTTGTAGAACACTTACATTTTTGTGCTAGAGGCCGGGATGAAAAGATATTTACGGGATTTGTGTGTAATTAAGGTAAAAAATACATAGAAGGGACTTTCAAATGTTCAGAAGAGGTCTTACGCTGAGATGTAGTAAAATGTTATGATATTATTGTTTACCATATGACTCTCTATTGAGCACACGGATCTTAATGAAGAAGAAGAAATCATAATTTCATTTTTAATAAAGTCCGTGTAGTATTATTGTCACACCAACACCACATTGGTGGCTGCTTTGACGGCCGATACGAACACAAACGTCTCTGTGAGTACTTGAAGTTGGTTTCTTATTCTAGAAATAGGCGTATTATGTAACGTTTAATTTATCTATTTATAATTTTCAAAAATGTGATATTCCAATAGCCACAATATTCAAACATAGTTTTAGTATAAATCATGAGATTGTTTATCAGATGTTCCCCGTTTACCCCAATTTCTAAAATAGGGTGAAAAGGCGTCGACCTGACAACACTGTTTCCAATTCTTTTTAGGTGAAGGACGATATTTTGTTTTTATTTCAAAACGTTTTCAACATCAGGGTCTTGAAATTTGTTGAGGTCATCCGTAATAACATTGCAATAACGATCATGTATAAAATTCGATGCCTCACAGTCTCAAGTTGAAGGAGCATAATGTTCTTACTAACGTCTGATGTAACTGACGAATAATTCAAAATTATTTCACACGCTCAATCCGTATTCGCCTTAGCAGTCCTACATCAACAAAAACATGGCAGATGACAGCGAGGATGAAAACACCGATTACATAAATTCCTTGAGAAATGTCAACCCAAATAGAAAAACACTCAGTGATATTAATATTTTGGTCAAATGGATGAGGGGTAATGATGATATAAGAAGTTTGAAGGATATTCCTGTTATGGAATTGAACAAAATTATAGAAAGGTTTTCTATTAAAATCACAAAAGAAGAAGTATATGATAAAAAGATCATGACATGTCATTTTTCATATCAGACCCCTTATCAGCCCATGGTCAATATCGTCCCTCAAGCTTGTCGTCTCTAGGGCTGATTAGGGGTCTGATATGAAAAATGCCATGTTATCATCTTTATATATCGATACGCAGGAACAGCCATTAGTTCCATACATCTAGGTAGTTTAATAAAAAGTACAATGCAATAATTTATTCATCGCATGGTATTGTATCA